TAAACTCTCCGCACGAACCCTATTATAACCAATTCAAGGGACGGGTAGTCCGGGAAAAGTCCGGCAATATTAATAAGCAAAAGTGGGAACAACTTGTTTTTGATAACATCACAAATGGTGTGTACGCGTTGGTCACCGATCAACCATTTAATGATTATTATTATGCGACCAAACTATCGCAATATCCAAACCTATATCGATCCCAATTCAATAGTCTGGTTCTCCCATATTTTCTCGCCCTCTCTAAACATAATACGCGGAACTTTAATAACGACGTGAATTATATGTAAGACTTAAACTCTATTATTTGTATCATTTGGTAACTAATATAGACTTATTTTTGTCAGAATCTGTTCCCTTTCCGAAAGCGGTATTTATGAGTATTGGGTTAGAAATACTCTGGAGATTAATAACGAAGCCCTCAGACTCGGTATCATTGAATCCAAAGAGAAATATCAATTCTCATCACTGGGTCTGCAAAAACTTCAAAGTCTCTACTTTTTATGTATATTTTTATTTATTGTATCATTTATTTTGTTTATTTTTGAAATTATGTATAAAACTAAATGTTTTTATGGAAAACGCTACAATTTAAGGCCTAATCGTATCCAATATTTATCATTAAATAATAAAATACCAGAAATAATAGAAATGTATAAACATATTACAGAGCATTGGATATATCATGCATTCCCTAAATATTAAATTCAAAGCTTGTATTTATATATTTTTGATTATTATCCAGAAAATATAAAATCTCAAACTTTTAAATAACAAGTGCACTCATTTAAACTATTTTTTCTGTTGTGTAAAGTATAATAACCTGTTTATAATGACTTAATTACACGTTAATAAATTCAAATTTTACCATTTTTAAAATTATTAAATGTTATTTTGTTTAAATCTAAAGAGTTTACAAAAAACATTTTTATTTATATTGTTGTAATTGAAATGTTTTGTACAATAATTTTGCACTGAATATATTATGGCAACTATTGTAAACATTTGAATATAAATTTATATAGATTTTGTTTTGAAATAAATGAAATTCAGGCCATGAAATAGATATTATTGAAATCCTTTGATAAAAACTGTTTTTCATGTGAAAAATAAAACATTTGATAGCAATAAAAGTTGTCATTACAATAGCGATGGGGGTCTCAATGATGCCTATAATGTATACCTTTGTGTTACGCAAATACAAAGATCACATTTGGTTGTCACAAAACTTTCATTTGGCTAACAATTCATTTTGTCACTTATTAAAAAATTATTAATCTCTATATTCTATAAAACTAAATATGTTTTAATTTTGAATATTTAAAAAAATATATGCAATTAAAATGTATCCATATTATAACACAATCTTTAAGCTGATCATGGTTATATGCGTATCAATCACATCAATAAATTGCCAAAATTATGGTAATTTTTTAAAATTAATTATTATTTAAATCATATTGTAATCATATTTTCAATATATTATATATTTTGTATAAAAAAGAAGTTAAAAGATATCGTCGGCCCAATCGTTACGATCATCTCATTTGCAAACAGAAAAATTATGGCATAGGAATCACAAGCTCTGCTGTTTTGGTAAGTATTTTATTTTACCCTTAAATGTGGTAAAATATTATAAAATTGTAAAATTACAATTAATTTTCCACCAGAACTATAGCGGAGATGTTTGCAAAACATATTGTCGTGTAGTAAACAGAGCTGAAAGAACCGCATCTTTTACTGAACACAACACCTTAAATAATATCGTATGC